ATAGTAAAATGATTTATATTAGTTTATTAGATAAACTCCGGTATCAGCTTGAGTATTGAGCTTTTAATAAGACTTGAATTATCTCAACCTTAGATTTGACCAAAGTGTTGTCCTACCACGTCAACCATTTAGGATTTAGGAGAAAAATTGATAGTGTTTGACATGCAATTCACACCATCTCTAAATATAATATATATTTAATACAGCATGACTACTCTTTGAGATATGCACAAATAAATACACGAATGTGAGTTTTTGACTATTTTTAATGAATACACTCAATTTTTCATGAATTTCATAGAGCGTGGACTTTTTTCCTCACATTTTAATATTATTTAATTGATATTTTGAATAAGTGCACTTTTGTACATATAAAGATTAAAAATTGTGCATTAGCCAAGTCAAGAATGAGGTAAAAAAACACTTGATACAGCCAAAAATATCTATAACCAAATATAAGATTATGTTCCACTATTTCACATCACAAAACATGATAAGTAAAGAAATAAGTGTGTGAAATTATTGTGTGAAATATCTCATGTAAATAATGAAACAAAAAGAATTAAATTATTTCTTTTTATAATTAAAAGTTGAAACTTTTTATATTTTTCTGAATATGAATAACTATGTCCACTTTAAGTTTTTGTCAATCATTGACTGGAAAAGGCCATGTTTAAACCTTTAGAACCCAATAAAAATTTGTTCATGGTCTTATTTAACTTAATATTTTTGAACTTAAGTTATTCATGATCAAAAATAATAATAATGCATCTAATTTTAAACTTTCTTTATTTAGAAGACAACACATGAAAGGACATTTATCTCAGCAACTAAAAAATTTTGCTTGATTTTTAAGATAATTTCATAGATAAATCAAAATTTATGTCTCTATACATGAAATATTGTAAGCATTGAATAGATATATTTTCACTTGCTTTGCTAGATGTATTTAATTCTAAAGAAAGATTAATTTTATCACTCAACAATTTATTATCCTTCTTTAAACTTGAATTCACCTTTTTAACAATTTTATATTTTTAGCAAGTTTTTTAGATTAATCCAATATTTTATTATATTTAGAATATAAACCATGGTATGCTACCAGAGCTCTTATGTTCAGATTTATATGAATTACAATCTTTGGCCATGAGACAACAATATGTTTTTTTTATCATCATTGCTTGAGCTACTCTCCGACTTATCTCATGTAGCCACTCTGAAACTTTTGCCCTTCTCTTTGTAATCATTTTTTAGCAGACATTTCTTCCTTAACCGATCGGCTTTTCTACACCGAAAATAAATTGGTTTAGTATCAATAGCATGAGTATATTTAGTTACCTTACTTGTGTAGTCATCTCATTTATTTTACAGAAAATTTTAACCATCCTTTTATTTTAAGAAGGATTCGTAGCCTCTAACAATTTGATCAACATGACTATTTTCATCCTCGTAGCTTGAACTTGACTTTATCTTCTTTTGGACTTGAGTTTCCCCCTTTTAGCCTTCAATGCTAATAAGTTCTTCTTGGTGTTATCTTCTAAATCATCTTCTCTCTCTCTCTTTTAATCTCACTGCATAGGTGAGAAGATTCCCTACAATATTCTCAATAGTTAGTTCAGAAAATTTTTTAGTTCTTGGACAGCTGTTACCTTCAATTCTTAATCCCAAGAAAAAGAATGAAGAAATTTTCTCACAATATCTTTGTTATCATACTACTTGCCCAAAGCATTTAATTTGTTTACTATATTAGTGAATTGTGCGGATATATTCTAAATACTCTCCAAGGTCTTCAGCTTGTAGTTCTCATACTTACTCAGAAGCATTGTAAGTTTTGCCTCCAAAATCCCCTCATTGTCATGTGTGACTTCCAATTTTTTTCAAATTTTATACAATAGAATAATTTAACACAAGGTTAAATTCTTTAGAAGTTAGAGAATAATAAAGAGTATTTATAGTTTTACATTTAAAGTGTAGGTGTTTTTACCCTGAAGGTCCACTTATTTGTAGGAATGATAATAGTAGTATCTCCTACAACGATAGTGGATATATTCACTATAGCTATTCTTTACACTGCTCCAAATATCATAATCAATGGACAACAAGAAGACTCATGTGGGCTTTCTAATAAGTGTAATTTATCTCATCGAAAAGTGGCGTCAGTTAACAGCATGTCCCTCAGAAAAAGCTATTGCAGCGGTCAAACTAGACATCTCTACCCTAGGCTATGAATCCAAAAGATGGGTAACGAGACTCTGATACCACTTATTACATTTGAGATGCAATTCTAGAGGGAGATGAATAGTGTTGCTATAGTTTTTCATTAAAATACATAATATGCAATGGAATAAATAAAATAAAAGCAATTAATGATAAATAACCATAAATAATAACCAACTAAAATACATAATATTTTATAGTAGTTTCGGGAACAATCCTACGTCCACTCTCTTCTCACGAAGGGGCTTCCTCACTATGCTAAGAGTTCTCCTAAATTACAAACCCAATTCAATAGGCTTACAAGACCTTACCTTAAAATCTATTCAAAACTAGTAGTTTAACCTAACTCTCCATTATGAGTAACACCTAGCCCTAGGTAGTGTCAACCCTTAATTCCAACCAGCTTGAGTATTCCATATAAAAAAGTTGGAAACAAAACCAAATAATAACAATTAAGCATTGAAAATATAAAAGTTCTTATAGCCGTTTTGATAAACAAACCATCATTTGATTAATCTAAGAGTAACACGATGCAGAATGGTGTAGATGATGAATCCAAGGACAAATCTCCTCATTGAAATGAGCTGGAGATATTGTGTTTGATGAGAGAGAGTTTATCGAGGCTCCTAGGGTCAAAACCTTCAATGAAATCTCTTCACAATTCAAAATACTAGAACTCTCTCTTCTCTTTATCTCTTTTAATAATATATAGTCCCTAGTAGGTCAGGGAAGATATATTCTAAATGTAGTAGAGTTTGGAGATCAAAGGAATAATGAACGGCTAGGATTAGAACTTAAAATCTACAATTAGTGGACTTTACCATCGATGGTTACTCTCGATCATCAGTGGTGTTGAGACACCATCGACTTTACCATTAATGGTTGCTCTTGATCATCAATAATTGCTCTCGAACATCGATGGTGTCTACGCACCATCGTTGGGTTCCTGTGTACGATCAATGATATGAAATCCTATCTCTAAAAAATTATCAATTGGTTTCTGTAGCCATTGATGAGCTCATCTACCATCAATGAGTCACTATTGATCATCGATGGTTAGATGGTTGATATCAGCGTTCGAGCTAATTTTCTCATCATTTTGCGTCGTACAACTCTTATATCTGTGTTCACCTACCATCTTAAACATTTATTAGTACCAAACAAGAGTTTGTTATTACTCAAAGAAGAGATATTGTGTGCACTACATCCTAACATGCAATATTTAGTTCTACATAACACTTAGCTTCACGCTTTCAATTATCAAATTGATCCGGTGCTATTTGTCATGTCCTGGGCCCACAAGTCTATTGGTGCATAATAATCTGTGGGGTTCACTGAGTGCAACACATTGGTTATCTCAAACTAATGCCAAAAGTAGTTAGCCAACACTATGCTTGAGGCCCTTGACTTACTCTATAACCACTCTAAATTCATATTATTTTCACGATGTAGGACTATTTTTTGGGTACTATATGCAAATCATATTCAGTTAAAGGAGGAGAATTGATGATTTTCGTCTAGAATCCTCTATCGTTCAGTTCAAAAATTCAAATAGACATCTAGTGTAGACGATCGAGGATACAAAATTGAAGCTCAAAACCAACCTCTTAATGTCCATGTGACACTCACTAGAATTTAGAAGTTATGGTGAAAATTAAATATTATAGTTTATATTGTAACATATTTTTGGATCATATAAAATCTTTAAGTTTTTTATTATATATTAATTTTTCTATTATCCGTGTGTTTTCTTGAGTTCTCGAAATCCTTCTGTGTTTACTTAAACCTGGACTGTTTCTGTTTAAATTCAAGAATAAAATGGAAATGGAGGATATTCTTATGAATGGCCCATGGTTCTTTGGCTCTAGACCTCTTTTACTGAAAATTTGGAATAATGAAGATGATCTTGAAAGGATAAATGAGCATGTATACCCTTTGTGGATTCAGCTACCTGGGCTGAGGCTTAATTTGTGGAGTTCAAATGCTATTAGTAAGATTGCTAGTCATGTTGGCAAGCCTATTGCTACGGACAAATTAACTGCCAGCAAACAAAGACTAGCTTATGCTAGGGTCTTGGTAGAGGTTCATATGCCCTCTCCTCTTCCTGATATTATTCTAATACATGGACCAAATGGTAGGAGTTATAATCAAAGAGTGATCTATGAATTAAAGCCAAAGTGGTGTGATAGTTGCAAGATTGTGGGGCATGATACAAAATTCTGTAAAAAGTACCCTATAACTCAGAGATGGGTTCCAAAAGTTATATCTGGGAATAAGGATGGGCAAACTGATATTTCAGGAGATCATGTTCAAGCACAGAAGGGGGATGGTATCAGTTTACAAGCCTCACAAATGGATAAAACAGAGGATGTGTCTATGAGCCAAGCCAAAGCTGTGCATGTTGTGCATGTTCAGGCTCAAAACTCTGATGTTGTAAACACTGGGACAGACTTGGTGGGAGAAAAGAACACAAATTATGTGCAAGCTATACAGGATAAAGGCCTTGGGAGTTTTTCTGGAAATAATGGCAGTTGCTCACAAAGAGTAAAACCTGTGCATGCTATGAGAAATATCAGGACAGGACCAAGTCAAATATCTGGCCTTAAAATGTTTCCAGCATTAGAGAATTCTTTTGCTCAACTTATGGGAGATGACCCCTCTACTGTGGATTGGGGGGGAGGTACATTTTCATGAACTTCTCCTTTTGGAATATTAGAGGACTTAATAAGTCCTCTAAGCAACATGTAGTTAAGATACATATTCAACAGTATCATCTTTCTTTCATGGCTCTCATTGAGACAAAAGTAAAGGCTTGCAAGCTTCCAGTAATAACAAAAAAAATTGCTAGCAATTGGAACTGGTTTTCTAATGATCTTAACTCTTGTAAAGCAAGAATTCTGATCTTATGGGATCCAAATATATTGGATATTCAGGTTGACAGTTATTCTCCTCAACACATCACATGCTCAGTTAAATCCTTAGATGAAAGAATTGATTGTTGCATTTCTTCCATATATGGATATAATCAGATTGATAACAGAAAATCTCTCTGGTCAGAGCTAGAACAGATTCATCAATCTATTGGTAATAAACCATGGATCATATCTGGTGATTTTAATGCTATAACTGGAAGTGAGGATAAACTTGGTGGAGCAGTGGTTACAGACGCTGAAACAATTGACTTCAGTAACTTCATTGGCAGCTGTCAGCTCTCTCACTTGAAAACTGAAGGCTGCTTTTTCACTTGGAATAACAAACAAGAGGCAAGTTCCAGAGTATGGAGTAGACTGGATAGAACTCTGGTAAATGATGTCTGGCTAAATTTTCACAACTCTAGTCATGTTGAATACTTGCTACCTAATTGCTCAGATCACTCCCAAGCTTTGGTGTCCATATATGATGATTGTGTGCAAGGAAAAAAACCATTTAAATTCTTCAAGATGTGGATCAAACATGACAGCTACTTACCCTTAGTCACTTCTATTTGGCAAACTCAAATATCAGGCTGTTCAATGTATTCTATTGTTAGCAAATTGAAAAAATTGAAGACTGCTCTCAAGGATCTCAACAAAAAAAGTTATTACAACATCAGTGAACAGGTTAACAGAGCAAGAGTCAATTTGGAGAATGCTCAAAGAATTTTACATTCTGATCCTCTAAATCCTGACTTAATTGCTCAGGAAAAATTCTGTGTTACTACACTCAATAAGCTATTGGATTGTGAGCTGTCTTTCTATCAGCAAAAATCCAGAATTCAGTGGTGCTTACAAGGTGACAGAAATACAACTTACTTTCATTCTGCTATCAAAGCTAAAAGGAATCTCAATAGGGTTTTGGTGTTATACAACAGGGAGGGGGATAGAATCACTGATGGAGATATGATCATTCAAGAGCTTCTTGATTTTTACAAGAATCTTATGGGATCAAGTACACCAACTGCCAAAACTGATAAACATTCAAGAGCTTCTTGATTTTTACAAGAATCTTATGGGATCAAGTACACCAACTGCCAAAACTGATAAATATATCATCAAAAATGGTCCCTGTCTAAGTAAAACTCAAGCTAATACCCTTTCCTCTGTCGTTACCAGTGAGGAAATTAAAAATGCAGTTTTTTCTATGGATGGTAACAAAGCTCTGGGGCCAGATGGATTTGGTATATCCTTCTATAAATCATCTTGGAGTGTCATAGGTGATGAGGTAACACTACAACAAAAAAGCTAATCCGCGAGGAACAAGTTGGTCGTTAAAAGTCGAGATTTCCTCGTTGTAGTGTGTTGGCGAGGAAAAAACTTTGGTCATCATTTCCTCGCGGTAGGGTGGTCAAGAAAAGTTTCTACGAGGAATATTATAATTTCTCGCGAAATCCTTTTTGCGATGAATATATTCTTTTCTCGTTGTTACTCTTTAGCCTCGATATTTTTCCTCACCTAATCTCATACTTCTTTCATCGCTAAACTACAGTTTCCTCGCCAATGATACGTGAGTAATATTTAATTTATATATAATAAAAGTAATAAAAAAACTATTTTCGTCGTTGTAAGTATCTTTCAGCGAGGAAACTGTTCCTCACCAAAGGTAAATCTTTAACGAGGAAATTATTTTTCTTCATTATATGTATCTTTTTTTTGTGGAAACAGTTCCTCAGTAAAGGGACTCAAAGACGAGGAAATTTAAATTTATCGTTGTAGGTTGTACCCAATATTCCTCGCCAAAAAAAATCCAATTATGAGGAAATTTACATTTGTCGATATAGGTTATATGGTCTATAGCGAAGAAAAATACTTTTTTCATTATATGTTGTATCCCTATAGCGAGGAAATATTTTTTTTGTCGACGTAAGCAGTATACTCCATAACGAGGAAATATTATTTTGACAACGTAAGCAGTATATACATATAATGAGGAAACTTTATTTCATCAATAATAATGCTATTACGAGAAAAACGCTCAAAATATAAATAATTGTCATCAATTGTCACCACAGTACATCAAAACAATTAAAATAAATAAAGCAATCAAGTTTCTATCATAAGTAACAATGCTAGTCTAAAGCAATAACAAATGCAACACGATCAAAGAAACATTTCTCCAAGTTTAAGTTCACTAAGAATACTAAGCTGATGGATGTTGCCTGGAAAAATTAGCCATAAACTCCTCAAACTTTTTGGCTTGCTCCTCCAATCTTTGGATTACCTCATTTTGCGCATCGATCTTTTGTTGTTGAGTTCCTACAAGTTGTTGGGTCTCTTGAAGCTGTTCTTGCAACTCTTTATTCTTTTCAGACATTTCACCCATCGAAGAACGAGAGAACCTTAATGGTGGTAGTCTAGGGCCAAACCCACAACCCTTAATGTAGCCTGATTTGATTTTGAGAACTTTTGCACAAATTTCCTCATCTGTCATTGCTCGAGTTCCATCAGGTTGAGTGGTATCTGCTCGCATCTCTATCATTTGATCCTATAAGTAAAAAAATATATCCAGTTCAATCATATGCAACTTCGCAATTACAACCTAATCAATATAATCTTCTTTAGAACAGTAATATCAGTTTCACCTATATTCTTAAAATATTATAGAAGCATGCATCATTGACACGTTCACTAGTAAAAAATCAAGCATCCTAGACGGAATTTTCCGTCTAGGATAGCTTGATTTTCGTCTAGGATAGTTATTCTATAAAATTACCAAGCTGGTGTACACTTAGTTGAGAACTGTAACTCTTGCATTGAGAGAACTGTAGCTTTGAGTTCTGAAGCCTTATAAGAGGTATAATGTTCCAGAGTACTATTCTGCTTTTCGAAAGAAAGTAATAAATGCCTTAGCCAAGTTGAGAATAAGCCATCAAGCGAACTTTTGAGAGTTCATTGATAGAAAGGATATCAGTAGGCACTCACCCATGGATGGTCAGACTGCTCCAATGTACATCTCGCAAGAAACATAGCAGATGCAGCTATGACTGAAGGAATAAACTTTATGAAGCTATACTCAACCAATGTTAGATTTGCTAAGTAATTGGCCAGATGACTCAGGGCTTGGGGGGAAACCTGCATTAACAAAAAATAATTCACTTAAACCAAAGCTGGTACTATTTAAAGTATGGTTAGTCTAAACAGAACCATGCTGCATAACTTTAATTGTAGAAGTACCTACCTTGTATGATGTATGTGCTGCTCGAATATATCTCCTGCAGAAAAATTATAAGAACATGTCAAAGATGAAATTTAAACAAATCTGATATAGGGGTAAACCAAGGTGAGAAGGACTTACCTTAGAAATGTTTTTACAGTGGGCACAGAGATGTGAAAGCTCAAAAGGTTCAGTACTTGAATTTCTATTTTTAGCACCTGTTATTCAGTAAGGATGCCTATGTCAGATCCATCCGTGAACAAACTCCCTACATAACTCTGCGATCAGATATACAAAAAGGCACATTGAAAAATGTGACGAGAAAATGAGCATACCTCTTCTTTGGTGTATGTGTTGTCTGTAATAAAGCAAAATTCTTCTATACGAGCACAAATTTCTTCGTATGTTCTGTGTAACACACAACACAGATCCGAAAGATCTATTAGCTAAAGCCATATGCTAGAGGAAATCAAGTGCCAATTTAAGCATAACAAGTCCACATAACTTCAGCATATAAATAAATCTATGAAAATCCCTACTTTACTATATGAACAGGAGGTTGAACGAAATCCAGTGATGATTAACCTCAGGTCTTTGTGATACATCATGGTACCATGAAACAATCCCCACACAAGTTTCATTTAGACATTAATAATCAAACATATTATGAAGATAGTTTGCCCAGAAGATACTTTAAATGATGGATATTTAAATAAATAGAATAACATTATCAAATACTACACAACTAAAAAAACATTGACATACTAAATGCAGGCGATCATGTTAACGGTCATAATCTTATTCAAATATATAAAGGAACATTAACACTAACACATAAAACAGAAAACTTACGATGCAATTAACATGCAACTAATGCCCAAGAGTTGCAATCTCTGCCTTTCAATATAATTTTGAGAGAGGAAACGATCGATGATATTAACAGTGAGATGCAGTGTGTCTGGAACAAGCTTGTATTCATCAGAAACCTGAAAGAGGAACCAAGTCATTGACATTAATATAAGGAGCACACACTCAACTAAAGACAAAAGAAGGTGTAGGCAATAAAAATCGCCTTTAAATCCTTATCAGAGAAGTTCAGAACAAAACTGCTAAAACCTCACCCGAAATAGCGAAAAAGGGGAAAACGCAGATATCTCCCAAACCGTAAGGAATTTGGCAAAACGGAGGAAGCGAACCAAAGCCTTCGGCTTGGTTCGGATGGCTCCATCTCGTCGAGATAGGCGATTTTCATATATAATTCGTCCAATTCCGACTTACGGTTTGAAAGTTACGGCCTATTCTTCAATCCATGCTCAGGAGCTCGCCTGCAACTCAAATTCGCCTGCAGTCCCAAATCCGCCTGCAGACCCAAGTCTGCCTGCGCACCTGAGCTCGCCTGCAAACCCAGTTCGCCTGCTAGCTCGCCTGCAGACCCAAGTCCGCCTGCAGTCCCAAACTCACCTGCAGACCCAGTTCGCCTGCAAGCTCGCCTGCAGACCCAAGCTGCAGACTCGCCAGCTCACTGTCAACTGCCCACTTGGAGTATGGGAACAGTTACATCAGTGGTCAAATCCCACAAATCAAGGGAGAGGGCACAATACTCCAGGCCCGTCAGATGGCCGTCCACAGTACGAATGAGCGGACAGGCGCCGAAACAGCCTGCACCCTCATAAATGCGGCTCACCTCAGTTGTCCAGGTGAAGGGACGAGAGCCGCCAACGCTCGGTGGTTGGTCAGATCCACGCAAGCATCTGACAGCCGTTGTCACGCATACGAGGAGGGGCTTTCCCACTCCTATGTAGCGTGATGCAGAGCACAGCTCTTCGAATGACCATTGACGGTACGAATGAACAGCAGGACGTCTCCGAACAACGTGTGGTCACATCCCATAATTCAAGGAGCAGTCAAGCTATCTCCCTCACCTCTATTAGTGGTCAAATCCCATGAATCAAGGGATAGCCCATGCCATCCCTTGCCTGTTAAAACCCATCTTCAGCAGCATGAAGAAGGGGGATTGGCCGTTGCATATTCTGCTGGCTAATCTCCCAAAGGTTGAACCTGGACCTTTGCCAAAGGCTCCCTCATTTGAGAACCGAAGCTCCGGCTCCGGCATCAACTTCGATCGGATCGTCCAAGGGAAGCAGACTCGGCACGAGCACCGAGCGAGGCATCCTATCGCCACCTAAAGTCCCCACACAAAACAAAGAGGGCCTTCCCTCTGCTTCTGTTGTAAACATTTGATTTGTTAGTTTGTAATAAGCTTTCTTATAAATACAAACGAAACTCCTTTCTTCGGAAGAATCAAATTTTCACCCTACAGAAGATGGCGACCACAGTGGGAGAATCCGTTCATTCAGATGAATTGGTGGTGGCGCAGTCTGACGAAGTTGCTGCAGGGACTACTGTTGAGTCCCTTGTGATCAAATTCGAAGGGTACTTACAATCGTCCTCTTCTCGCAGCAATACATCTCGCGATGGTTGCAGAGTCGTGCGGGTGGCCCAGCCCCAAGAGGCTGAGGCAACCAAGCCTGAGGGATCTACCCAAGCCGAGGCAGGGGGTTCTTTTCCCCCCGAACCAGTTGAGGCCGAGCCGAGATTCGAGAATGCAGGTCTAGGGGCTGCTGAATGGGTCGATGAACGATCCTCGCAGACCCCTGTGCAAGAGGAATCAACCATTTGTGTCGACGCAGAATACGCCTCCGTCGTCGACATGAACGCTCCTCGTTCAAAAAGATCCAAACAGCGGCGACGAAAAGCTCTCGCTCGTCTCGAGGCGCAATCCCTCATCCCCCACGACAGCCTGAATTATTATTCAAGCTTGGGGGGAATCAACCTTTTGTGCCAGGTTCCCATTTTTGGCGAACCGCTCAAATCAGGCGAGCCTAGCAGTTTAGGCGAGCCCATCTCTTTGAGCCAGGTTCCCGATTTTGGCAAACCGCTCAAATCGGGCAAGCCTAGCAGTTTAGGCGAGCCCAACCACTTGAGCCAGGTTTCTATTTTTGGCGAACCGCTCAAATCGGGCGAGCTTAGCAGTTTAGGCGAGCCCCACTCTGTGAGCAAGGTGCTCAATTTTGGCGAACCAAGGGCACCTGGCGAACTCTGCAGTTTAAGAGGGCTTCGTCAAACAAGCGAACTTCACCAAGCTCGCCTGACGGCCCAAGATCGCCAGAAAGGCGAAGCAACAGCTCGCCAGACAGGCGCAGGCACACTGTGCCAATCTCGCCTGACGGGCGAACCTCGCCAGCATGAACCTCGCCAACACGCTCACGCCCAAATGGGGGTGGCCACCTCGTTTGCCTGCACGGGTCTGACGTCCGTCTCTGACGACGACGACGACGACGATTGCTCAGCAGTGGCAATGTCGGAGACTTCAAGCTCAGTTCAGGGCAAGCACACAAATGTGCACATGACTGACATCCCTGAGGAGATGTCTAGGAGGCTCGACGAGCAACAAGCAACCATCGACTCCCTGAAGGAGATGTTGGAGCAGCTCCTGAGCGAGAAGAAGAGGAAGAGAGAGAGGACTTCGCGGGCTTCGCATAAATCCTTGAAGCACAAAGAGCGGGTGCCTACTCCTTCTCACTCCTCATCCGAGTCATCTAGAGGAGCGTCATCTTCGGGCCATAACCCAAGAGACAAGAGGTTTGACGATCTCCAAAGTCAACTCGACGCCTTGAAGCTCCAGAAGCATGCGAACAAGCTGGGGGTTGTCAGACCGTATCCAATTGAATGGGATGCGGTCTCCTACCCGGCAAAGTTCGAGCCGCTGGACCTCCTGCAGTTCAATGGAAAGGGTTCTCCTACCCAGCACATCTACTACTTCCAGGCGCAAACTGGACACATAGTGGGAAACGATCCCATTATGACTCGACTGTTCATTGGTACCCTCAAGGGGGTCGCTTTTGAATGGTTTCGCAGATTGGAGCCTGGGTCCATCACCTGCTGGAAGGACATGGAAAGGCTCTTCGTGGCCAGATTCTTCGATGATGACACAGAAGTATCTATGGCCACCCTGCTAACTGTGAAGCAGAGGAAGACAGAGTCTGTAAGCAGCTTTGTCAAGAGATTCAGAAACCGATCGTTGCATTCCCGCGATCGAGTTTCCGAGGCCACGCTCATCGAGATGTGCCGGAACAATCTCTCCATCAGCGTTCTGTCCAATATGGGCGCTGTTGAAGCTCGCTCATGGAAAGACTTACTCCGCCAAGGAGAACAAGTCGAGAGCATGCTCAAGCATATGGGTGACGAAGACCCGCATGAATTTCGAGGGGATGATGACCAAGATGCCTTGGTAGTGGAGACCGATCCCTCATATCCTCCAAATTTCCCCCGTTGATCCTCTTCAACAGGACGGCGGGCCCACATAGTCGCTCTAATCGCGACAATCTTGTCAAGTTAACACTACACCTCTGACAATCTCCCGTCGATCCTCTTCAATAGGACGACGGGCCTACAAAGCTATCACGTTAACAATCACCTCTGATAGTTCTTCGACACTCCAACTGGTGCATGAGTTTAAACTGCTCCCTTAACACTCCGACAAGTACACGAGTATAAACTGCTTCTTCTGACACTCCAACTGGTGCATGAGTTTAAACTGCTCCCTTAACACTCCGACAAGTACACGAGTATAAACTGCTTCTTCTGACACTCCAACTGGTGCATGAGTTTAAACTGCTCCCTTAACACTCCGACAAGTACACGAGTATAAACTGCTTCTTCTGATCCTCCAACTGGTATAAGAGGTTAAACTATTCCCCACACTTCCACTTCTTGAGCCAGGTTCCCAGTACGGGCGAACCGCTCAAATCAGGCGAGCCTAACAGTTAGGTGAGCCCCACTTCTTGAGCCTGGTTTTCATTTATGGCGAACCGCTCAAAACAGGCGAGACTAGCAGTTCAGGTGGGCTGCATCAAACTCCCACTTGGTCAAACCTTCAGATAGTTAGGACCAAAGCCACAATCCCCCGCCAATCCTCTTCAATAGGATGGCGGGACCCCCACTGTCACGTTAACAGTTACCTCTGACAAATCAACTTACCAGTCCTCTTCAATAGGATGGTAGGTCCATAGAGTTGCTCAAATCGCAATAAACTCCCACTGTCATGTTAACACTACACCTCTGACAAAATCAACTTACCAATCCTCTTCAAAAGGATGGTAGGTCCTCAAAGTCGCTCCGATCGCGGCAATTCCTATCACGTTAACGATTACCTCTGATAGCCGACACCGTCATTCCCGCAAATGACGTTGTCCGATCAGTCGTCATACTCATACGTCCCTGAACGATTTGATTCTCCCAGCACCGTCTTTCCCATAAAAGGCGTTGTTGTTTGATAGTGGCCTACTATGCGATGTGCTGCTATTTCAGGGTTCGTCTTTGCCCCAAGAGAAGACAAATCAGGGTTCGTCTTCATCTTTGCCCTAAGAGAAGACAAGTTTCCCCCTTACACTCCAACTGGTGCATGAGTTTAAACTGCCCCCTTATACTCCGACTGGTGCATGAGTCTAAACTGCCCCCTTATACTCCAACTGGTGCATGAGTCTAAACTGCTCCCTACACTCTTAATCCAAATGCCTCGAAAGGCTAAGGATAGAGGAGAAATTTTAGCATTGAGCCTAAAAGAAACTCCTCAACAACTTACCATGCTAAGGGCAAGAGCATGGCTAGTCCAACTCAAACGGCAGTTGGTAAAGACAAATCAAGTCCGTTGATAGCTGAGGGTTTGCTCAAAATCCTAGAAGGCGATCATCAGCTGCGAGTGAAGAGCAGGGATCACTTTACGGGACTTCATATCCAAAGTGTTCCAGACCCCATGCGGCCTGATTCAGGTCTGAAAACTTTGGAGGGGGTTTTGTAGGCAATAAAAATTGCCTTTAAATCCTTATCAGAGAAGTTCAGAACAAAACTGCTAAAACCTCGCCCGAAATAGCAGAAAAAGGGGAAAACGCAGATATCTCCCAAACCGTAAGGAATTTGGCAAAACGGAGGAAGCGAACCGAAGCCTTCGGCTCGGTTCGGATGGCTCCATCTCGTCGAGATAGGCGATTTTCATATATAATTCGTCCAATTCCGACTTACGGTTTGAAAGTTACGGCCTATTCTTCAATCCATGCTCAGGAGCTCGCCTGCAACTCAAATTCGCCTGCAGTCCCAAATCCGCCTGCAGACCCAAGTCTGCCTGCGCACCTGAGCTCGCCTGCAAACCCAGTTCGCCTGCTAGCTCGCCTGCAGACCCAAGTCCGCCTGCAGTCCCAAACTCACCTGCAGACCCAGTTCGCCTGCAAGCTCGCCTGCAGACCCAAGCTGCAGACTCGCCAGCTCACTGTCAACTGCCCACTTGGAGTATGGGAACAGTTACATCAGTGGTCAAATCCCACAAATCAAGGGAGAGGGCACAATACTCCAGGCCCGTCAGATGGCCGTCCACAGTACGAATGAGCGGACAGGCGCCGAAACAGCCTGCACCCTCATAAATGCGGCTCACCTCAGTTGTCCAGGTGAAGGGACGAGAGCCGCCAACGCTCGGTGGTTGGTCAGATCCACGCAAGCATCTGACAGCCGTATATATAGATATATATATATATATATATATCCTCTTGAAAAATATTTTGATCAAGAAACTTAAAATATTATTTGAAACAGAAAGTTAGCATGCTCTTTTTAAACTTTTCAGTAAATTTCTAAGTTAGACTTTGGTTTAGTATAACTATTATGAAAAGAGTTTCTAAGAAATTTACTTTGGAATTATACATAAAAATATTTTCTTGAATAAAAACTAGCTTCGATAGATTATTTAAAGGTATTAAGTAAATTAATTATTCACTAGCTTCTTTAAATTGGAAAATTAATCAAATTTGTGGGTACATTCACTGCAAACCCTCATGAGACTATAACTCGTCCTCTAGGGTAACCTAGGGGTTTAAAGACTTGTTGTAAGCACTACAACTGCGATTCATGCGAAAATATGTTAGGATTTTTCTTTCTTTCCCTTTTAATTCGTCTCTTTGCTAGAGGACTAGCAAAAGTTTAGGTATAGGAGTATTTGATAATCATATTTTTAATTATATTTTATACCCTCATTATCTATTTCATTTAAATAAAATTATCACTAATAAACGTATTTTATCTTAATTTTCAAGTTAATGAAGGATTAATGCATAAAAGCCTAAAAAATCAAACTCCCTAATTTTCTACTATATATTGAAGCCCAAATATGAAGACAAAAGAAGGCCCAAAAAAGCTCAAGGATCCATGAAGAAATGGGGTCAAGAAATTACAAAAAAAAACCAATCTGTTGTAAACCAATCAGTTGGCTAACCGATTGGCCAACCGATTGGCTAACCGATTGGTTTGCAACAAAAACTATTTTTTGGCTGTGATTTAATCCTTGATCTCTAAGAAATATCTAAGGGTTCTTATTCATTACCGTAGGCTATAAATAGGGGTAGAGATTGAGGGCTTTGTGTGTGAAAAATTTTATAAAAACTCCATATGGAGAGGAGGGTTACTCTTAATTGAGAAGACCTTCTAAAAATTATAACTTTGTTGCAATTAATAAAAAAATTCACCTTTCCATATTTTTCTTTTCTTCTCTCTATTTGATGATGATGAAGATAAAGATGAAGATGAAGATGAAGATTTGCCTTCATCAAGAGGCTAGAACCCTCTTGGAATATAAATTTTCCCTTTTATCTTTTATTTTCTTGTTCATATTCTAGTAATTTCTTTTCTTTTTGTTTTAGTAGTTTAGATTACATTAATGTCTTGTAGAGTAGATTTACATTCATGTCTTTATTTTTACGTTGTTGTCTTACACTTTTATTTTGTAGTAAAGATTTATTTTCTCGCATAATCTAGATTTTCTTTTATGTTCTTTTCATTGCAACTTAGTTAGATTTATTTTTATGTTCATAGTTTAGATCTTTACTTTTTTGTTCTTATTTCCCTCCTTGTAATTTCTTTTTATTTTCATTCTTTTATTTTTATTCTCTCTAGTATAGATTTTATTTCTTGTTTTTATTTTCTTTGATGCGGAACTAATTCTTATAGGAATTCTAGAATATGAAACTAGCTTGATTTCTTTTATAATTTATGAGTTTTTCTCTTGCGTTTAAAATGATCATGTTTAGGATAATCAACTAGAGAACTAATTGGTAGAAGAAAAATTTGATAATCTATGTTTATCTTGAATAGTTTCATAGGATATGCTTATGATTTCTAGAATTACTATCTAGTTATTTGTTTTCTTCATGAATGTTAATTTTACTTAGATGATAATTTAATATGTTATGCTTTCCTTAAATGTTTTGATAGTCTATGTTTAATAAATCTAAAGTGGAATGTAATAAAAAGAGAATAGTTTGCCCCTTAAATGTTCCTTTATGCTCAATCATGCTTTCCTTAAATGTTTTGATGATCTAAGGCGTCAACTTGTTCTTCTATACGAGCACAAATTTCTTTGTATGTTCTGTGTAACACACAACACAGATCCGAAAGTTCTATTAGCTAAAGCCATATGCTAGAGGAAATCAAGTGCCAATTTAAGCATAACAAGTCCACATAACTTCAGCATATAAATAAATCTATGAAAATCCCTACTTTACTATATGAACAGGAGGTTGAACGAAATCCAGTGATGATTAACCTCAGGTCTTTGTGATACATCATGGTACCATGAAACAATCCCCACACAAGTTTCATTTAGACATTAATAATCAAACATAGTATGAAGATAGTTTGCCCAGAAGATACTTTAAATGATGGATATTTAAATAAATAGAATAACATTATCAAATACTACACAACTAAAAAAACATTGACATACTAAATGCAGACGATCATGTTAATGGTCATAATCTTATTCAAATATATAAAGGAACATTAACACTAACACATAAAACAGAAAACTTACGATGCAATTAACATGCAACTAATGCCCAATAGTTGCAATCTCTGCCTTTCAATATAATTTTGAGAGAGGAAACGATCGATGATATTAACAGTGAGATGCAGTGTGTCTGGAACAAGCTTGTATTCATCAGAAACCTGAAAGAGGAACCAAGTCATTGACATTAATATAAGGAGCACACACTCAACTAAAGACAAAAGAAGGCAATGCAAAACTAAGTAGAATTTGAATATAAACGAAAATTGAATGATAAATTAGCAAATATTAATATTCAAATGAAAAATGCGACTTTTACAAACATGTTGTTACTCATTCATACAGATAAGTTGTGTGGATCGACCGACATATGGATCTGAGACATGGTTCCACATGTCAAACAATTCATATATTTTCACACCAGTTTTCTTGGATTATATGTCCATCGGAGACCAATCAAAACTTTGTTGTGAGATTGTCTATTTCTCCCAAATTTCAACACTCCCAGCTGATGCTTGATTTGCTGCACGATTGCTTCCAAAAGTCTTTCGGTTCGATTCTCTAGCAATTCTTGAACCGAACTGTATGTTAGAAATAGCAAGTTCGTTAAATCTTCACAAAATTCGGGATTAATTTTGAAATATGAAAATTTACAATAAATGCAATGTGTATTCTTTGATATACGGTGAGAGTAAACTTCGCACCTGAATGGCTCTTTTGGGTAGAAGAGATGTTCCTTCAATGCCAAGCAATCTTGCAACATGTCACACGATATATAGAAATTTAACCAAATATCCAAAAGATTTTGTTTATGCTTCCCTTTGAATATTCAAGTATATATCAAAGCCAAACGTTTGCTCAGTATACATAGCATCACATGGCAGTTTGAAATCTAAGATAGGTCGTATTTTGGTACACCTTCCTCCCTCAAAATTTTTTTATCACCTCTTCCAGCAGGTTCGTCGAGTTCAGCAATCTCCCACAAGGGAAGTTCCAGTAGAGATTTAATTACATCCTCATCCAGAAATGGAAATCTAGCCTACAATAGATAAAAACAGGAAAGGAAAAATATAATCACTAAAACTTTTGAAAAGTAATTTGTGAAAAAGAAAACAAAAGCATAAAAACGGTTTACGGGGTCTATACCTCCTTTCCATGGTCAGAGATGCACCTGTCATCTCTGCCCAAATTCCTTTTCCAAATTCTCTGTATATCCAATGGTATATGGATATCAAATATCCATATCTATCCTACTGGAGACAAATGCGAGCATACCTACGAATGTTTACATCCATTTGCTCCCTTCCACATGATTATCGATGTGGTGCAGCCACCTGTAAAACCAAACACTGACTTGAGGTACAACGCAAGTTTCGACTAAGTTTGGTAAGGATGCTAAATGCAAGGAGAGTGTCATACTACCCTCAATTGAAATAAGCATATCGCGAGAAAGAGCAGTGGTAGAAATAAGCATGCTCAAGTGAAAGCAGGATCAGAAAGAGCAAACCACTTGAAAGACCTTGTCCTGAGCATTACAACATTAACAACTACAAGTCCTTTTTTAATGACCTCAATCCGAAAGAGCAAACCACTTGAAAGACCTTGTCCTGAGCATTACAACATTAACAACTACAAGTCCTTTTTTAATGACCTCAATCCATGTTCATTTAGGCTTATGCCCAGACTTCATTGATCGTTCTATATAGCAATTGTTGGTCTTTATTACACATGCCAATGAGTTCTTGTCATTTCAACCTTAATCAGCTCCAAACTTCAGGCATAAACATTGGTATTTTATCCCATCTTTAGCATTATCATATCTTCTATATTACACTTTGAAATATTGTTTAAGTTGTCCGACATTCTTAAGCATGATTAGTTGTTCTTAAAAAAATTCTTAAGCATGAATAGTCAACATTCTTCACGCATAAGTGCTAATACTCTCTCATCTTTAGCATTCTCATTTCATCTATACTACACTTTGAAAATTGTATTCATTTCCCCCTTCTAGATTCAAGAAATGATGATACCGATACCAAGACGTCACCGACAAACAACTGGCAATAAATTCCCCTAAACTAGGGTTCAGTTTCATCGCTATGGACACAATTATCAATAAAAAAATTGAATCAAGGAACAAAAAGAATAGATTCGACGAATACCAATGGCGAGCAGCGTCGGTTTCTTGAGAGGCCGGATCTCTGGAATCGGCTTCTTCGTCTGCTGAATGTGAAGATACACGGGATCACCAGTCTTCTCGTAATTTGAAGCGACGTAATCCTTGCCAAAAGCGAGGAAGGAGCTCATATCGACAAACAGACCCCCCCCTATCCGAATCTGATCTCTGCAAATAGACGTAAACTAGGGTTAGGATTAGGGTTTCGACTTCAAAATCGAGGACGAGATGGAGAGGTACCGGGGTGTCGAAGGAGATCAACACTCGTGCTCGTAGATTCGGTTCGTGGGTTCGGGGATTCGAGCCCTAGAGAGATGAGTCCGAAGGAGCTCCATTTATGTGTGAGAGAGAGAGAGAGAGAGAGAGAGAGAGAGAGAACGGAGGAGTTAGAAAAAGAATTAGGGGCGGGGGGGCTCATTTCGATTTTGGGCGGAAATTTGGGGGGGGGGTTGGAATTTTGATTTTGGGGGGAAATTTTGGTGTTTTTATTTTTTTTTTGTATGGGTCATAGTATCTTAGACGGAAATTTCTATCTAGGATGTATCCTAGACGAAAATTTCTGTCTAGGATAACCGGCCATTTTTAAAAAAAATAAAAAAAAAGAACCGTCTAGGATAATATCCTAGACGGTTCTTTTTTTTAAATTTTTTTAAATGGCCGAGTATCATAGACAGAAATTTCCATTTAGAATGTTTTATCCTAAACGGAATATTCTAGACGGAAATTTTTCGTCTAGTTTAATAGCAAACTAGACGAAAAATTTTCCGTCTAGAATATTCCGTCTAGAATACACGATTTTCTACTAGTGATATAATTTATAGATAATCAGTAAAGGGTTGCTGACGGGCATATGGGCCTAGGAAAGGAAGGCATTTTTCCATGCTAATGTATTTAAATGCAAGTACATTTACTTCCACTACTGCCAATGTATTTAAATGCAAGTAATTTATAGATAATCATTTGCCGGATTCTGCTGGAGTCATCAATGATTTTCAACTAGAATGAGAAACGCCAAGTTTAAATCCAAGTTTCACCTCCCTCTTTTTGCAAAAAAAAAAAAAAAATTAAAAAAAGAAACAAAAATGAAATCTCTATAGAAAAATCTCTATAGACAAAAGAATTGCGATCGAGAGAGAGAGAGCTCGAATCTCACATCTCTCGAACGGTCTGATCCAAAACCTTCATGAAATCCATCACATCTCTCGAGGCCGTCGAGGGCTTCGGATTGTTGCTGGCGGTGGCGGTCGGGTCGGAGAGGGATTTGAGGGGATGGAGACGACGACGATGATGAAGACGAGAGGCGGATTCTTGTATATTAAGAGGAGGGATTTGAGAGATTGGGGTTTAGGGGCGCGGGGATTTTAGAGTTTGGGAAAAATTTTTGAGGGGAAGGGGAATTTTTTTGGGGGGACTCGGGTTTAGTAAGCAAGAGAACGGAGAAATAGATATGTTGCATTTTAAAAAAGAAAAATAAGTAAATCAGCCAAATTGTTTAAACTGTTTGGGCTAAACATCCCAAACGGTTGTAACCGTTTGGCGAGTGCGTTTGGGATCTCCTAACAATTCTCCATTGATATTGAAGCATGGTCACCATATAGCTTAAACATTATGCAAAATAGGAATAAGATATTTCATTACACGTTTGGTTTAATCTATTTCCAGAAGTCAATATTATCTATTAACATAATCTAATTTCAGAAGTCTGAAATAAATGTATATTCAAAAATCACAAATTGTTTAAATCTTATCAGATTTGTGAGCAATCCTTTATCATTGGGATCCCTTTGAACCGGAATAAATATTAATTGGTTGTAATCTTCATGTGAATTGTGCCTACAAAAAGAAACCATCAACCAGACAAACCAAATCCTTATTTCTATCCATACTAGAGCTTTACTAGACAACCCGCTCTTTTCTTTGAGTACCCGCCTACTTTTTACCCAAATTCACACCAAAATTTTCGCTAACGAATAATGAGGATATTATTATTTCCTTGCTGATTGGTTTTTAACAAGGAAATGATTTCTCGCAAAACAAAATCTTTTAGTGAGGAAGCCTTAAATTTGTAGCCATTGAAGTTGGCGGGTTTTGCATATTTTTCCGCCAAACTAATAATGAGAAAACTATTATTTTCTCACTAATTAATTCTTTTAACGAGGAAAGAGTTCCTCGTAAAACGAAAAACTTAGTGAGGAAACCTTCAATTTATCGTCAATGATTTTGGTGGGTGTTGCACATTTTCCCGCCAAATTAACAATGAGGAAACTATAATTTCCTTGCTAATAGGTTCTTTTTGACGACAAAACGGTTCCTCATAAAACAAAAACTTTTAGCGATGAAGCCTTAAATTTGTTGCTACTGAAATTGGCGGGGTTTGCACATTTTTTCGCCAAACTATTAATGAGGAAACTATTATTTCCTCGCTAATTGTTTTTTTAACGAGGAAACAGTTCCTCGTAAAACAAAAATTTTAGCGAGGAAACCTTTAATTTATCGTCAATGAATTTGACGGGTGTTGCAAATTTTTTCGCCAAATTAATAGTGAGGAAACTATAATTTCCTCGCTAATAGGTTCTTTTTAACGAGGAAACGCTTCCTCATAAAAATAAAAACTTTTAGCGAGGAAGCTTTAAATTTGTCACCATTGAAATTGGCGGGTTTTATTTTTTCCCGCCAAACTAATAATGAGAAAACTATTATTTCCTCGCTAATTGATTCTTTTGATGAGGAAACGGTTCCTCGCAGATTATGGATATTCAGCGAGGAAATCATACATTGTCGCTGTTATATTTGGCGGGTTTTCCTCTATTTTCCATCAAAAGAACAGCGATGAAATGATTATTTCCTCGTTAAATGTGCATTTCGCGATGAAAAAGTTCATCACCAAAGTCTCATATTTTCTCGCTAATAAAATAACTAGTTAGGAGACCAAATCATGATCATCTTTAGTGAGGAACTAAAATTTTCATCGTAGAATGTGGTCTACTGTGAGGAAAATATATTCCT